TGTTTGCGTTAAAAATAATTTTTTAATTTTGACAGGTTTTTAAGGTTATGTTGACCCGCCACCCTCCTTAATTAATGTGTCTGTAAAGAATTTATTAAATCTAAATTTAATTAATTTTCAAGAAATATTAACGAAATACCTATACGACATATAAAAATGAATTATTCATCAATAATTTATGAAATATCTGATCAAATTGACAGACAATGTTGTCATTGTCTTTTTTCTGCACAACAGCAATATATATCGCTTAAAAGATAAATACACTTTTTTCCCATCCTCCCCCCCCCCCTGTTTTCCCATTCTCCATAGCGACCGTCCTCTTATTTTCTCTTTTCTGAAGACACCGTTATTTACGATCCGCCCTTCGAATCTCGAGAAGGTCCTTGCCTCAAAGGGAAGACTTATAGATACGTCCTCTTTTGCTAACCGTTAAAGTGGATGGAAAATTAAACGAGGAAAAAAGTAAAAAAAAAGAGTCAAAAATGAAGGAAAACAGCGAGTGGTAGGAGGATGATAATAAAAAGAAAAAGTAGAAAGATAAAGGGGAATGAAAGATGAAAAAAGAGGGATATATTCGTCTCATGACGCAACGGGGTTTCACGAAAGAGAGAGAGAGAGAATTCTCTATGTCGACTTTGCTACGACAACTTGGATGAGCACGACGAGAATGAGAAAGTCTTTCTTGCGAAACGAAGAGGTCAGAAAAGAGTTGGTGGAGGAGGAAGACGAGGAGATTGAGGCGTGGAGAGAAAGAGGGAGAAATAGGTTTACATGGTGGCTTTCAGCCAGCTTTATTTCCACCTTGAAGATCAGCACGATCTTGATTCAACGCTGACGTCTGTCGCGAATCAAGCGCGAGGTTATCTCATGTTTCCTCGTAAATCTTGTTTGGAATGTGACAACAGTGACCTCCGCTTCCGCAAATCATGTTCAAATCTACTCACGCCTCTTTCTTTTTAAAAATAAACAACAAAAATTTTTTTGCTTATGTAGAAAATGCTTTTATAAATACTATAAAAAATTTCATTACATTTATTGGAGCGCATGATATTATCCCATATTAGGATTTTCGTTTTAAAGAATATTTTATTAAGTATACACTGAGAAAAATATGCTATTGAATCAACAGCATTTCTGCCAAAGGTATAAAAATTATTGATTAAAAAGCATATGCTATAAAATTTATAAAATATTTTATAGATTCTATAGCATATATGCTTTTTACTAAACACAATTTTTATTTCACACATATTCTAACCAAATGATTTTGTTGCAAACACAACATTTTTTTGTGTGTAAATTTTCCGGAAATCCTTCTTTGAGCCTGGCTACACCGAGAGCCAAGCAGAAGCGTTAATTTTGATGCTCAGGCGTATTAAACGAGTGGACTAAATTTTGCGTCTGCGCAGAATGTTTGTGTACATCTGCGACCATGGTTGCGATAGCGACAGGTTAGAAAAGTGGTCGCCAAAGCAAGCGAACTTTTCTAACCTGTCCCTATCGCAACCATGGTCGCAGATGTACACAAACATTCTGCGCAGACGCGAATATAATCTACTCGTTTAATACGCCTGAGCATCAAAATTAATGCTTCTGGTTGGCTCTCGGTGTAGCCAGGCTCTATATGGATCTGTAAAATAAAAATTCTGTCGAATGAAAATTCGGTACTTAAAAATTCATTTAATAAAAAATTCTGTTAAACGCTAATTCGAAAAATGAAAATTCATTTAAAAAATAATTATTATTAATAAAATTCTTTAAAATAAAAATCCTAACTAATGACTTTTAATTAATAATCATCCATTTATAGCAATACTTTTATTTTCCATTTAAAATAACAGTGTTGCATCTTAATTTACTTATAGTTAATATAAAAGAATCAAATTGATATAAAAATTTGGATTAATTAATTAATTAAGCTCGGAGGCATTGCGAATTCAAGGAAAGTATATATATATATATGCATATAATATATATATATATATAGAACTCTTTATCAAATAGGAATCAATGCCTGATATATGTGATTTGAATTTTTCATGAATGAAAAAAGTGCTTCTAATTGTAAAATCGATACGCTGCTCGTTACACACATTTGGCAAAGTTGAAAGGAACTTTAGTTGTCGGATAGAACAGGTATATAGAATAAAAGTTTTTTTTTGGGTGGGAGGAGAGAGAGAGGGGGGGATAAAAGGTTTAGGAGCTCGATAAAACGTGGTGCCATTATTGAAGTCGAGGTAGAGTTACAGAAAAAAAAGAAAAGAATGAGAAAAAAAGCGCAAAAAGATATAGCGTGGTCTCGCGATTTCAGAAGGGTCGAGTAGATTAAGCGAGTTCCAAGGGGGACAAAGACTCTTTCTCCCATAGGGAGGGCCAAGGTGCCCAACCTTCTGCCACATAATCTTTATCCGATCCCAAGCCGACCAGAACCATCACTATTATAACTATATATATATATATATATACATACACCAACACTATCGCTATTATGGCAAAACTGGCTGATTCTTTGCTTTCCTGACTCAGCGAACGGGTCCTCTCTCCTTCCTCCAGCATCTTTTAACATCACTTCTCGTATCTCTCTCATTCTTTCTTTCTATTCCCTCCAAAGTCTTCTTTAGCTTCTACTTCCTTATCCGTGGCTGAGTCGCCAACGACTCTTTTGTTTGTGAACCGGTTCCTCTTGCAGTTCCTCGAACCATTTATTCCTCGGCGCGTTGTGCTGGCTACACTGGTACTTATCCCTTTTTCATCCATCTCTCCCTCTTCCGCTATACTCTTTTACTAAACCTTCTTTTTCGGACATTTTTCATTTATTTTCTCTATTTCTTACTCGATTCTCATTATTCTGTGACTTTTTTTTTATAAAACGAACTACAACTTTGGACTTGAAAGATTGAAATTATAATTGATTCCAATTCAAAAATTCAATTTCTCGAAACTAATGGAACTTAAGGAAATATTGTTGTCCTATCTGGTGGTAATCTAAGACATTTATTAGACTTTTTTGAAATTTTATAAATAATACAACAAGACAAAAATATTTTATTAGCATTTATTTGAAACCAGATAGAACAAAAATTTTCCCAAGTGTCACTTTCTATCGAGAAATTGAATTTTTGAGTTTGGACAATACACGTAAAATGCATTTTTAATTATCCTGAGGAAGCATCCGCCTTTCTATTGGTATACATCTTATCGCGACTTTGAATTATTATTATTATTATTATTATACTCGCATCTCACTCTCGAGCTCTTGTTTCTTGTGAGTGTTTATTTGCAATGCTCTCGATTCGAGAGATCCGTCAACGCACTTCAACCATTGGCCTCTGCTTAATCGAGTTGGATGTGTGTATATAGCGAGGTTCATGAATGAACCAAGTCAAATACTTTCGAGTTGACTTGCCACGGAAGGTGGAAAGAGAGGAATGGTTCGACCCAACAACTTTCGACAGGTTCATCGATTGCGTCGCGCTCATCGACCCCGCGTATTGACCTCGTTTACTTAAGCTTCATCAATCACGCCTTTGTTTCTTGTTAATAAAACATGTCCATATGGTATAAATTTACCGGCAAAAGAAATTATATACAAAAGTTTTACTTCCTATATTATACAACGTATTTAATTATACTTATAAATAATTCATTATTCATTGAATATTCCTTTAATAACGTTGATATTTTTATAACAATTTGAAAAATAATGGTCTGAGTAAAATTTTAACTTTCTTTATACACTCAGAAAAAATTTTTTTTGAATCAACCAAATAAGTATACCGAACTTTTGCAATGAAAAAAATAAAAATTTATTTAATTGAAATAATCGATTCCTTGACTATTATCAAATAAATATTTACTTGAATCAAATAATTTTTATTTCAATTAAATAAACTGTATTTGAAACAAATACCATCTCAAATAATAATTATTTGATAATAGTCAAGTAACCAATTATTTGAATGAAATAAATTTTCTTTCAGTGTGATTGAATCAATAAAAAGTTTATTTGACGATCAATCAAATTCTTTCTAAGTTCGAACAATTTATTAAAATAAATCAAACGTTTATTTAGATCAAATAAATATTTACTCTAATCAAAGAAATTTTGTATTTGAAATAACCAAAAAATTGTGTTAATAATAAGAAATTGTATAGTTTATTATTTAAAAATCATTTTTTCATTAAGAAAATCTATTCCCTTTATGAGATGAGGTGATTGCCATGAAATTGATTCGTAAAAACAATCTGATATGTGATAGTGTTGATGCGAGAAAAAGGGGGATTTCATGGTGAAGAGGATGTGGGGGGAGGATGTTTAGTGAAGCAGGAGCCACTGCCCGTAGGAAATTGAAGGCTAGATAAGCCTTTATTGGTCGATAACGATTAATGAGTCTGCGTGGGATTGCAGCCAGTTGCCTTGTCGTCATTGGTCAACAACTAGCAATCATATACAGAGCGGTGCAGTTCCGCGGTTGATTATCAATTCAATTTTGTACTATCGACATAGAATCAAATGCAAATTTCATTGAGAGTATGTTTTTAAAAAAAGAATTTATGAGAATTACACAATTGCGCATTATAATTATTATGCCAGCATTTGAAAATGTTTGCTATTAAACATTTTCATTGTATACCATTTGATCGCACTCTACTACATGGAACATGTTAATTAATTAGAAAATTAAATTAATTAATAATATTTATTTATATTTTTGATAATTGTTATATTTTTATCATTACAACTCGAGAAAAGATTATTAATTAATTATTTAAATTAAATAATAATTAATTCACATGTTCTAAACTCTAAATTCAAAAAATTATATTTTTCAAAAAATAAATTCTCTTTGAAAAATGCATTTTATATATGGAGTGAATGTACCGGTAGTATAGCTTGGGTGGTGAAGCATCTTGGCTTGCGGTCACCAAGGTTAAGCACATCTAAGCACGGTTAGTAAATTGGATGGGTGACTCTGATAAAATAATGAGAATATTACCTTTTTCTAGTTGTTGAGAAACTGGACTCTGGGTCCTTAGGGATGGTTGTAACTGAGCTGCATTTACTGGACGTCCTCTTGGCCTTCGACCAGGTCGTGGCTGTAATAAATAAAAATTATATTTATTAAAAATAATAACTGTATTGTTTTACAAAAAAATTTGTCTTGTAAGTTGTAATTAATTAATAATATATAATAAAACGCCTTTTTCACAGCGTGGATAAATTTAATCCTTCGCGAGATTAAAGGCAGGATTTTTTAATATTAAAACAAATAATTCTTCTTACTAAAAAAATATAAATACCAAATACAATACAAAAACAAGAGTTTTTTAAAATTGCAAAAAACTACTAAACACTTTTCTGGGTGCTGAGGAAGTAGAAAAGGTTTTTATATGATCAGACAGAATTAATATTACGGAATTGAAAACTAAAGTCAAAAAAAAAAACAATTTCACTAATTTAAACAGTGAAATTTTATTGAAAATTTATTCAAAGCTGATTGAATTTTCAGTTATTTTTTCAGTTTTTACTAATAATAATAATTGATGAAAAAAAAAAAAATTGAAAATACAATTATTTTTTTTCTACTAATTTCCAATGAAATTCCACTTAATGAAATTGTGAGAAGAGAGAAAATTTCAATGTTTCAGACATAAATTATTAAAAAAAACTAAAAATTGTAGTTTCAAATGTCAACTTCTAAAAATGATGTTTTTTCCGAGAAAAATCTTTGCCAAAGAAGTTCTAACCTGACACACATTTCTGTCTTTTCTTTTTCCTTTTTGTCATTTCTGGCGCATTTTTCGAGCGAGATAAAATTCGTCGACTATTTCGAATTCTTCCTTTCTCTTTTACTCCGTTTTCCAAGTCGCGCACATAATTGCAAAGTCAAACCAAGGGAATGAGAGTAGATGTCCTGTGTATACATATATGTCTCGTCTCGTCTCTCTCTATCTCTCTCCCTCTTTTGTTATGTCGCTCGTAAAAGGTTCAGAGGCTTTGTTTAAAGCGTGCATTTATTACCACAGATAAACGCGACGCGCTCCACGAGTTGACGGTCAGTGATAAATAAAACAGGTCGGTCGCGGGTGAAGTAATCCAATTCAATGTACTTTGCAAATCTAACATTGTATGTGCGCATCTATATACATGTGTGTGTATGTGAATTATAAGGTTATTTGTATGCATGTTTGCATTAATATGACGCAAGAGACGCAACAACAAAATCCTTGGGATAACACGAAAAGAGAAAAAAAAATTCATTTTTTTCCTCTTTGCGTTTTTTGGCAATGAATAATATATATATATATATATATATATATATATAAATATATAATAATTAATTGAGAGTTATATGAAAAATTATGTACATGAAATTCTGAATGTTCAAATGAACGAAAAATTTTTTACTACTTTTTTAACTTGAAATTTTATTTTAAAAAAGTATTCTATATATCACATATAAATTAATAATTTATTGAATGTTTAATGTATTTTTTTATTTTTCACTGTTGCAGTAATGTGAAAAAAAAAATTATGGACAATATAAATGATTTCATTTTCAACATTCAGAACTTCAGGCACATGAAAAATTGTTTAATACTTTAGATATGTTATATATATATATTTTTTATATATACTAGGGGGGCTTCGCCCCCCTGCGCGCTTCGCGCGCCAACCCCCTATTTTTTATTTTTTATTGGTTTTGTAGATGTTTGAGTTAATGTTTAAATAATTTCTGGAATTTAAAACTATTATTAATATTTTATTATTTATTTCTTCAAATGTTATTTACGATTTTTATTAACAATAATTTTTATTATTTTTAATTTTTAAAACAAAATTTATCTAATTTTTTAAATTTTCCAGCTAAAATTTGACCTACATTTAAGGTTATGTTCGTTTTTTGGTAATTTTCCTTCAAAGTTTGACCTACATTTTGAAGTTATGTTTGTTTCTTTGTCTTTTTGCACCAAATTTTCGCCTAAATTTTGAGGTTATGTTTGTTTCTTGGTCGTTTCCCGACAAAATAACTTAACCTTAAAATTTATATCAATTTCGGCGGAAAATCCACCTCTCCTTCAACGTAAGAAAGGAGGGGGGGCTTGCGTCTATATTCACAGTCTTGAAACGAACATAACCTTTAAATTCAGGTCATTTTTGGCAGGAAATCTACCTCCACTTGCTATATTTAGAGGCTTGAAACGAACATAACTTCAAAATTTAGGTGATTTTTGGTGGGAAATTCGGAGAGAGGGTAAGGGAGGGGGGAGGACTTGCGGCCCTATTCAGAGTCTTGTAACGAACGTAACCTTAAAATTTAGGTCATTTTTTGCGCGGAAGGGGGAGGAGAGGGGGGGACTTGCAGCTATATTCAGATGGGTCATTCCATATCAAATGTAACCAAATATTGTACTATCCATGTAAAAAACATGGGTTGGCTCACCCTTACCTAACCTTGTCAAAAACATGTGTTGGGTACACTTGACACGGAATGACCCATCCTTGTCAACATTTCTGAAACAGCGGCGGCGGCGAAATCTTTTTATAATATGGGTCATTCTACATGAAGTGTAACCAACCCATGTTTTTGATATGGTTAGTAGTTTTTGGCGGAGGAGGGGAAATGAGAGGAGGGAGGGGGGACTTGGGCTATATTTAGAGCCTCGAAACGAACATAACCTCAAAATTTAGGTCATTTCTGGCGGGGGAGGGGAAAGGAGGGGGGATATCCCCCCTCCTAGGTCAAAATTTGCTGAAACAGCGGCGGCGAAATCTTTTTATAATATAGTAATGATAATGATATAAATAATACAATGTTAGCATATATATATATATATATATATATATATATATGCTGTGAATAAAGCGAATATTATTTTGACCAGAATTTGAATTTATAAATTTTTTAAAATTACTCCTGCAATAAAAAATAAACAAATTCAATATTTATTAAATTGTTAATTTATTTTTTCATAAAAAAAACTAATATTTTATAATAAAATTTGAATTTAAACAAATGGTAAGCAAAAATTTTTCTTTCATTTGAACATTTAGAACTTTCTTAAAGTTCGTAAATATTTACTAAAATTTCTACTATAATTATTGAAATATTAATATATTTTTTCTTTCAGTGTAAATAATAATTTAATTAAATGAAATTTTTTATAAAAGTCGCACAATCTATTTTCTATAAACATTATACAAAATATATTGTGTTTGTTTGCAAAAGCAAACAACGTTTTATAAATATTATAAAACTTTTTAAAAATCAGAGAAATTTTTTTTTTTTTATTTAAGTTACAATGTGTTTTGTTAACTTCACAAACTTATTTTTTTTTCCTGTAAATTTACCAGACTTTTTAACTTCGTCAAAGAATTTATATTTTCCATTTTCTTCTCCGCGTGAGTTATCATATTTTTCAGAAAGGATGCAGTGACCTAATATTTACAAATGTTTACCACACTTTTTCTCTTCTGGAATTCCTCGCAGTACCACACGTAATCCTCAAAGGGAGAAAAAGAGAGAGAGAGAGAGAGAGAGAGAGAGAGAGAGAGAGAGAGAGAGAGAGAGAGAGAGAGAGAGAGAGAGAGAGAAGTAACGTGGTGCTTGGATAACGTAAAGGAAGAAAGAGAGATAGAGAGCGAGTGTAATAGAAAGAGAAGTCGTGCATTCAGCAGCAGACACTTCCAAGAAGTTCCCTGTTTAAACTGCAGATCTCGCAGAATTAATTTTCCGAGTCCTCTCTTCGCCTGTTCAATTTCCCCCCTGCGCGCGTTCGAAACGAGCTTCTAGCACGACGTGGAGTTTGCTCTGCGCGCCCCTTTCTTCTTCTCGAAATACCACGAGCAAACAGTTTCGTTCACGTAGAAAGAAGAATCCAAGGCGATGTTCCGTATGTGTTTTATTGCAAATTGAGGTTAAAGTCTTTGGCAGATGGCCAAGTATTCACCTAGGCGAGCACATTGCATAGATAAATACATATAAAAGCGGGCACAACTTTAATGTTGCTCGTATATAGCGTCTGAGAGAGGAATTGTTTAGGAATATATATATATATATATATACAAGGTAGGTGCCCTCATATATGGAGTCAAGCATGTACATGTGCAATTCAAGTTCTAACATTCAAGTTATACACCAAAGTAAGACATGACCCATTGCTCTTGTGTACAAGACAAAGGTACGTCCACACACGCCCAAGTTTTAAGCAAGCACGGAAATTACATGAAATAAATATAGTTATATATTCTACTCTAATATATATATAATATATATTCTACTCTATATTATAGGAGAGTATTTTATTACAAATAAAACGACATGATTTAATGATAATTTAACGATTAAGGTCCCATTTAATAATAAATTTAATTATTTGGTCCTAAGTAGAATTAAAAAAAAAATTTGTTGACAAAAGCATGAAGGAATAGTTATTAATTCACTATAGCAGTAATAACTAATCAATAACAAAAGCTTAAAATATATATATATATATATTTTTTTTTTAATGCGATCTCATTATTAATTGCACTTTTACTGAATTTTTAATATAATGAAAATACTAATTTGAATATCTCTTATAAATAAATTTATGAAGTTTAAAGTGAAGACGAATAAGGAAAATCAATACATTAAAAGACAGCTTAAATATTTCAAGAATTCAGTGCAATTTCCATCGCGTCTAATTAAATAACTGAATACGATTCCACTTTTATAAATTACTAATTGAAAATATCCTGTGTCAAGTTAAGAATGACTTTTTTCCATTCGTATAGATGCTGAAGTCCACAACATTTATAATCAAAAATTAGTAGTCAATTTTTATTTAACATGGAAAATTATATTTATATTTATATTTTACAGTCAAAAAATTATAAATTTTTTTCATTCTAGAAAATATTATTTCTTTGAAAATCGTTTATCATAAACGTTGCGTACTTCAGCATCGTAGAAAATTCATTTTTCAAAGTAAAACAATTTGTTTTAAATATACTTTCTATAAATAAAAAATAAATAAAATAAAAAAAAAATTATATTTAAAAAATGTGTCTGAAGTTCTAAATTTTCAAAATTCGCTTATGCAATGTAAACAAT